TCAGTTATTTCTGACTGGAGAGACTGTTTGTCTTGTTCGAAGATCGCAAAAATGTTTTCAATTCTATGTTGGATTGTCTCATTCAACTCTGACCGCATAGATCGCATTTCTGCCTTCATTTCTTCCTTGTCTGCAACCGCCTTTTCTTGGTTGGCGTCTAATTTGGATATTAAATCTTCTTTGTCTTTCTTCCTATTTTCTTGCATGGCCTTCAACTCTTTCAGCTTATCGTCTTTATCAGTTTTCCTGTCGGCTTATAATTTTGCCAGCATGATATTTTTGCTTTTTCTTGATTGAATTCTAATTTCGCCAGGAAATCTTCTCTGTCTTTTTTCTATTTTCTTCCGCCTTTTCTTGATGGGTGCGGAACATTTCTTGGTTGTCTCTCATTTCCTTCAGTAGAAGTTCCATCGTCTGCTGCATCTCCATTTTGTAGCAGTAAAGTACTTGATGCACAACAATCTGTTTGTGGCGTGTTTAAGTTCGTAACACTTCTGACACCAATGTAACGTGTTTCGTCACTGAATACGCCGTAGAGATCGTTAATTGGTTTATTCAACAACCTAAAGTAACGGCTACAATTAATTATCACAATATTACGGGTTTCCACACTTTACAAACCCTACAACAAAATCTCTTAACACAATCTTCACTTGTCTTCACGTACTAATTACGCGGGAGCTATACAAGTCTCCCTGAATTACACACTCCAGATATAACTGGTTATCCCGAACTATCACTGATTTTCGCACACGCGTCTGTAGCTCGTAACTTGCGAACTGAGAACTCGTTGATAACACACTGACTCTCGCTTGCTGCTCAGCCGGCTTTTATTCGGTTTGCTGTTGCTAGTGTGACGTGGCGTATAGCCTAGGACGCTGTTACCCCTTGGTGACGTCACCGCTGTTGATTCGCTTTGCATAGCTTCAAGGTTGCGGGGACTCGGCTAACTTCGGCTCCGCTCTGCTCACTTCGGCGCCGCTCGTGACGTCACCGCGGGGAGAGTTGCGGGGTGATGGCTCGCCTATTACGCGAGCGCTACGTTACCGCGACGTGCAGCTGGGGAGGTAGGGGTCAACATGTCACAATATTATCAAAATGTAAGAGGACTACGGACGAAATATGTTGAATTTTATGATAATGTTTGTTCCACAGACTTTGACATTATTTTTCTCACTGAGACGTGGCTTAAGGATTCGTGCTGTGATTGCAATATATTTCCTAGTAAATATACCGTTTACCGGTCTGACCGGGTATCGAGCAGCAAAGCTCGTGGTGGTGGTGTCTTAACAGCCATTCTCTCCAGCTGGGTTCTTGCAGGCGCAGGTATGATTTAGAACTCAGCTCTAAATGTGTATGGGTTGAGATTCCCTCAGTTGACAGCCACAATCTGCTTATTGGCAACCACTATTTCTCTCCTGACACTCCATTGGGAGTCATTATTGATTAATTTCACCTTCTTGAAAACATGCTTGACACCAATAGCTTTCATGTTGTTTTATTAGGAGACTTCAAATTTCCTGGTTTTAACTTGGTGAGTGGGTCACTTCTGCCCAACTGCCACTACTACGCTAAACTTAAGGGGAATGCTATATACACCTCCTCATGTCTCCTTGGCCTTCAGAAGTATGGTGTAGCTGTTGACAACCATAACTTACTTGATTTAGTCTTCTCTAATCTCACCGATCTAAAGCCTGGTCCTCTTACTCTGATTTGGTCAAGCCTGATCCATATCACTCTCCCTTAATTATTGATGTCCATCTTCCACATACTACCTATAATCCTGATTATAAATTCAGCCATCAAAAATTCGCCACCGGCAATTATACTCTGCTTTACAACACCCTATCTGCGTGTGATTGGTCAGGAGTATATGGAGCTACATCTGCTGATGATGCAGTTGCCAGCCTAAATGCTTCTGTTCAAGCTGCCATGGAAGATGCAATTCCTCGTTGCCCTACTCGCAAATCTAAATTCCCTTTCTGGTACTCTAGTTCCTTAAGGTACTATATTGGTAAGAAAAATTACTTTCACTGTTGCTTTAAAAAGAAACAAACGGATTACTATTATGACAAATTCATTTCCTATCGTAAGCTTGTTAAACGCACTATCAAAACTGACAGGCTTCAATGGCTGAAGTCAATAGACAACGACCTGAAATCACAACCTCACCATCTCTGGAAATACGTGTCTTCTTTCAGGAAACATACTCTAGGTTACATTCAGCTTCAAGTTTATGGTCTACACTTAGATGAACCTACTGTAGTGGCTTATACCTTTGAGAAACACTTTCAATCCCTCTATGATACCCATTGTCCTATTGACCTTCCCCCTCTTTCGCAACCTACTGAATTCCTGACTCTTGCATCTATTTCTGATGCAGATGTCAACAAGGCCATTAAGAGACTAAAACCCTCTAAATCTGTCGGACCTGGTGATATCCCGGGGTTTGTCATAAAAGGCTGTTCGGCAATTTTTATTCCTGTACTTAGGCATATATTCAATTTGAGCCTGCCTCAGCAGCAATTCCCTACTTCATGGAAGGAAGCGACTATTGTGCCTGTATTCAAAAGAGGCAATCCTGCCTGTGTGAGCAACTACAGACCCAGTACCCTACTCAACAACATCTCTAAGCTCCTTGAATTCATTATTCACCATCATATTTCGCATTACATTAAACTTCATCCCAACCAGCATGGCTTCACCAAATCCAAATCCACAGCCATTAATCTGGTATCCTTCTTAGATATTATGACCCCTGTTGTCTGCAGTCAGTGTCAGGCTGATGCTGTCTATTTTGATTTTTCTAGTGCCTTTGACCTCGTGCCCCATACTTTGCTCTTGCATAAACTCAGCTCCCTTGAATTTTCTGATGGATACCTTAACTGGCTTGACAGTTACCTAGCTAACAGGAGATCTCGGGTCCGTGTGTCTGATGCTCTCTCCCGGCCTCTTAGAATAACTTTCGGGGTGCCGCAAGGCTCTGTCCTGGGGCCCCTTCTTTTTAATGTATTCATTAATGACCTCTGTAACTCAATAAGACATTCCCATTTTCTATTCTTTGCTGATGATCTTAAAATTTTTCACATCATAGACACTTCGCAGGATTGCCTCTTACTTCAAAATGACATTCATCATGTCAGTGACTGGTGCTCTGCCAACTCCATGAGTATTAATATCAACTTATGTCATACTCAAGGAAGACTAATGTCCTGCTCTATGGGTATCAGTTTTGTTGTACTGCTATTACAAGCACCAGTTACGTTAAGGACGTAGGTGTTTTCTTTGATTTTAAATAGTATTTTCACAATCATATTGATTTTTTATATTTTGAATGTATAAAGCTCCTAGGTCTTATACGCTCAATAACTTCTAGATTTTCCTATCTTGACTGTTTACATGCGCTGTATCTTACACTAGTCAGGTCCAAGTTGGAATATGTCTCGGTAACTTGGAATTCTATCACATCTACTGACTCCGCTAAACTTGAGCGCATCCAGAAAAAGTTTGCTTCCGTCTGTTTCTATCGCTACTTCCCACATAGCTCCTATAGTTATACATCTGCCTTAGAGAGACTAAGATTGCACCCTCTAAGTCTGCATAGACATCTTCTAGATGCACTCTTCTTCATTCAGGTTTACCATGGACTTAAATCCTGCCCCTCCCTTCTGGATAATGCTAGTCTTCATGTTCCTACTTGCCATTTTCGAGACTTCTCTACTTTTAGCATTCTTCCTTCAAAAAGACACTGTCCCTCTTCTCGGTGCGGCTTGCTACCAACGTGGTGGGTAAAGTTCTCGACATATTTGCAGACTGAGCGGTTTCTCTGAATCATATTTTACAAGCATGTACCAAACCTTTTACGGTGTTATTGGATTAGTGTTTTCATTAACTACATGTGTATACCTCGGCTAATTTTAATTTTCTTATGTAATTGGTTTTAATTTATTGACTTGTTAATAATTTTATGCTATCGCTCCCAGTTGTCTTATCTTAGTGTTTGGATACTAATAGTATTAACAACACTCGTAATAATTCATAAATCTATGTATATATTTAAGTCTTCTTTAGATTTATGCTCACAGATTTGTCATATTTTTGTTTTGTTTTAATTATTTTTCTGTACCTAATATACTCATGCTAACTTTGTAATTGGCCACTGTGCTGTTAGGTTATTGCACGTAAATAAACATGAATTGAATTGAATTGAACTGAATATTATTCTGCCCTGTACCTAACTGGTAAAGATGAATATATCAGATTTTCATGTTCGTGTATCATTAAATGCAGTGTTAATATTGTTGACAAGGCTGCAGTTTACATTCTAATGAAATTAATAACAAATGGGTACATGAGTATTGTTGCTTACTGTGCATGGTTTATAATAATTAAACATAACTGAAAAACTTTGTTCTGTGTGGCTTCAAGTGTAAATTATGAGCAACTTATGCGGTATAATATAAGTGTGTCTGATGAAAACATAATTTTCTTTCAAATTTCCCCATCTTCGGCTTCCCTAAATACATGTAGTCCATGTATGTTACAGCTCACAATGTCCAGTGCATTTGGATAAGGAAGTGTGTGATGTGAAAGAAAGGTTACTTTCCAGGCACTCGTGAGAAAAATAATTTGCAATCTGATATCATGTACTGCAGATGGTCTTACTATGTTGTTTTTTTTTCAAAGGAGGATCCAGGTTTAGTGTCACTTCACTCATATCCATTCCAAAGAATATGGGTGAAGTGATACTGAACAGGGTTAAAAAAGGGGGTGTAGGAACCTCTGCAGTGCAAAACATCTGGTTGCATAATTATTTACTGATATTCTTGCGAAATAAGCCTTCCTAGGAAGGAAGAAGGGGGGGGGGAGTACAGTGAGAAGCACCCAAAAGGTGATATGTTAGCATACCTTCTTACCGTTTATGCTGTCGGATCTGGCGGCCATTATGTATCTAGTTAGAGGTGAATTCGCAGAGATGGCAGAAGCATTGCACCGTGGGGTAGTGTCAGCCGTGTCAGCCATGTTGTCCGCTAATAATATCATAGTTTCGAACAAACTCTTCCATCGTCGGTTACCGATATTTCATTTGTAATGGAAGTGTGTAAGTTTTGGGTATTCTTTAGGGACGCATTAGGATCATTGGAGAGAAATTCAGTTTCCTCACAAATTGTCACTGAATAATCCGTCGAGTGTAACAATGTTTTTAGGTCACTTATTTATCTCACTTGCCTTACATTATTATATTTAAGCATCCTGTTGCACTCTACACGATAAACATAATCTACATACCAGACACATATCAACGATGTAGATGTTGATAATACGAAGAACTTGACATTGTGTTTTTAAATGTTAAGTTTTAGACTGGGTTCAGTGTGGCAGCAACGTTAAGAGTATACACCTGATGATGGCCGATAGAGGCCGAAACATGTAGTGTAGAAAGAACAAGATCAAAGACATATAAATGTATATTGTTTGCACTTAGGACGGAGTTTGTATCATTTATTGCCTTACATGTTTCGGTTCAAGAGAAACCATCATCAGAGGCACGTATTACAAACACATGAAAACACTGGCGTTGTTTAATGTACACAGTATGTAAGCTGCGTGGACGCTGTTACAGGTGTCGGAGTGTAAAAGCACAACACTTTCTAGTAGCGTTGAATGCACGTACAACTCTTGCATTCCATCTGAAAAATGTCCTCAAATTGAGCCGTCAATGTTAAAATATTTAAAAGTTTAAAACATTTAAAGTAAAATGTTCGGCTCCTTCTTGTTGATTCGTCCCGGTGATGGGAAACGTCAACTTGAGGTTGTGTAGGCTTATGGTCGGATGTTTTTTACGCGTTGTGTGTTGTGTCAGTCATTCAATTCAAAAGTCAAACAATTCAAAATCAGTTTCCTCATATTTTTACACATTATTGTGTTCGTGATATCGTTTCGCAGTTGCAAGTTGTAGCTGGGATTCTGCTAAACTTCGCAACGCCCGCTGTGAGGGTGATGTTACCAGTAGAATGAACATTTTTAGTGTTTTATGCCCTTTCTCGCCAGTTACACATACCAATCTGACTTGTAAAGGAAGTCGTGAGAGCTGAGGGTCTGTGTTGAACTGGTTGAAGTTGCAGGGTATGCAAATGCGTTTTTGTAGAGTGTAAATGTAAATGCAATGTAAATTTGTAGAGTAGGTTTGCTGTTTCTAGGACGTAATTCCATGCAGTCTGGTATGCAGTTACCGACGTTTTGGAAGCAAGAGGTTCACTCTAAATGGGTGAACTAGCTGCCATCAGAACTGAGGAACAATTTGTCAAAACTACATAAGGTGTAATAAGACTGCAAGCTTCAGTAATCCCTGCCGACCTCTGCTGTGAGAACAAAGAAATCCACGTCAGTGTGCGTTCACGATAATTAGTGTTTCCTTACAGACTTGGGCAAATATTCAGAGCTAGGCACTGGTACACTTGTTATAAATATGATGCTATATGACTAGGATTCTTGTACGATAAATGATACAAACACCGTCCTAAGTGCAAACAATATATATTTATATGTCTTTGATCTTGTTCTTTCTACACTACATGTTTCGGCCTCTATCGGCCATCATCAGGTGTATACTCTTAACGTTGCTGCCACACTGAACCCAGTCTAAAACTTAACATTTAAAAACACAATGTCACGTTCTTCGTATTATCAACATCTACATCGTTGATATGTGTCTGGTATGTAGATTATGTTGCACACGTCAAACCCGATATTCTTGTAGTAGCACTCTAAAGATCTTTAGTTATGATGTTTTTAAAATCTTTTAAAATTTTTTTCTCTTCTCTANNATGTAGATGTTGATAATACGAAGAACGTGACATTGTGTTTTTAAATGTTAAGTTTTAGACTGGGTTCAGTGTGGCAGCAACGTTAAGAGTATACACCTGATGATGGCCGATAGAGGCCGAAACATGTAGTGTAGAAAGAACAAGATCAAAGACATATAAATATATATTGTTTGCACTTAGGACGGTGTTTGTATCATTTATCGTGTAGAGTGCAACAGGATGCTTAAATATAATATAGGATTCTTGTAAATGAATTCATTTGCCACCCACAAATCATGTGTGATAAAATATAGTTTCAAGGTTATGAAAGATTCTGCATTCTCTTGAAACAGGAATACCGAGAATTCCACTACAGAGAGCTGAAGAAACATTTTCTGCTGTGACAGAAAGGATGGTGAGTGTTTTGTCCTTCTGTGCACAGACAAGACCTTTTAATTCTTATATCTTAAGAAACTAAACTTTTTATGCCAAGCTTGTGATTACTTACGTTACTTACTTACTCATGGAGCTGAGCCCTTCTTGAGGAGCTGCCAATTCTTCAGCTACTCAAATTCCCAGCATTTTATGGAACCCGAAAGTTCATCACTGTGTTCACAAGAGACCTCCAGTGGTCCCTATCCTGAGCTAGATCTATCCAATCCAAACCATACCATACCATACCATACCATCATATCTCTCTAAGATCCATTCTAATATTGTCCATCCACCTATGCCTTGGTCTTCCCTGTGTTCTCTTTCCTTCTGGCTTTCCCACCAATATCCTATACGCATTCCTCGTCTCCCCCATTCGTGCTACATGACCTTCCCACCTCATCCTCCTTGATTTGATCATTCTAATCATACTTGGAGAAGAGTACAAGTTATGAAGCTCCTCATTATGCAGTTAGACATCTATTTCCTATATTTATGTCATGGTTTTGCCATGCTTTTTGGTGACGAGACAGTAACATATATTTAGTTTTTTCTGTGTTTATTTCTAGACCAACCGCTTTACTTGCGTCAATTAAAGTTTGTGTGTTTTTCTTTATGGTATCTATATTATCACCCAGTAGATTTACATCATCGGCGTAGACCAACAGCTGATGTGGCCCAATTAGTTTCAGTCCCACCTGGTTTCCCTGGACCTTCCTAATTGCATATTCTAAGGCAAAGTTGAAAAGGAGTGGCGAGAAAGCATCTCCTTGTTTTAGACCATTCTGGATAGGAAATTTATCAAACAAATGTTTACCTACGCGGACTTTACTATACGTTTCGTTTAAACACATTTTAATAAACCTAACTAATTTCATGGGTATTCCAAACTCTTATCAGAATATTGTACAATACTTCCCTCCTAACTGAATTGTAGGCTTTCTTGAAGTCTATGAATAGCTGATGTACTGTCTCATCATACTCCCATTTTTTCTCTAATATCTGACAAATGCAAAAGATCTGATCTGTAGTTCATCTGTTACGTCGAAACCCACACTAATGATCCCCAATAATTTCATCTATATATGGACTTAACCTTGAAAGAAGTATATTGGACAAAATTTTATATGAAGTTGATAGCAGTAATATCCCCCGATAATTACTGCAGTCAGTTTTGACCCTTCTTGTGAACTGGTACAATAATAGACTCCTTCCACTGATCGGGCAATTTTTCCTTATGCCAAATAGAAGTAATTAGATTGTGGATCTTAGAAAGTAATATTTCGCCTCCTGCTTGAATAAGTTATGCCAGAATTTGATCACTACCTGGCGATTTATACTGTTTCAATTTTGCAATAGCACTTTCAACCTCAGAAGGGCTAGGATCAGGTATTAACAGCTCAGCTTTATCAATTTCTGTCTGCCTAACATCATTGTCCCTATGTACATTCAATAACTGAGAGAAGTAGTTCCCCCACCTATTCAAAATATTGTGGAAATCTGCAGGCAGATCACCATTCTCATCCTTCACTAAGTTACTGCTAGGCTGGTAACCCCTCTTAAAGTCATTTATTCCTCTATACAGGTCTCTAATATTTTTGTTTTTACTGTTCATTGCAAGCTCATCAATTTTGTCTTTCAGATATTCCCTCTTTTTGTTCCTGAAATGCCTTCTGGTTTCACATCTTATATTGTTCAGATTATCCCCATTTAACTCGCTTGGATCCTGTAACCACTGCAATTTGGCCTGCTTTCTTTGATATAATAATTTTGAGCATCCTTCATCGAACCATGGCTTATGCTTCTTTGGTTCATAATAACCTATACTCTCTTTGGCAGACATTTTTATATTCTCTCTAATAGTTTCCCAAGTTTTATTAACGTCCACCTCAGTGTCCAAGTTTTCCAAAGCCGCAAACCTGTTTCAGATTTTCAACATGATACTGCTCTTTACCCTCTACCTCATTTAATTTCTTGAGATTGAAGCTCTCCATATGAACTCTGTGTGTTGTTTGTTTGCTCACTGCCAGCCTTTCCCTAACCTTTGCCACCACCAGGCAGTGGTCAGTATCACAATCTGCTACCCTGAATGATCGGACATCAGGTATACTTGAGTGCCGGCTCCTATCTATCAAAATATGGTCTATTTGATTGTGTATCTTCCCAACAGGAGATGTCCAAGTAAATTTATGGATGTTACGATGCAGGAACATTGTACTTTTGACAGTAAGATTTTTTGATGTGGCAAAGTTTACTACTCTTAACTCCATTATCATTACTAATTTCATCCAAACTCTCATTCCCAGTTGTTGGTTTGAAAATTTCTTCCCTCCCTACTTTGGCATTGAAATCTCCTAACAAAATTTTCATAGTGTACTTCGGGAATTTATCAAATACATGTTCTAGTTCTTCATAGAATCTATCCTTTATGTCATCAATTTTATCTTCTGTTGGGGCATGAACATTCATAACAATGATATCACACCAGCAACCTTTTAGTATTATATATGATATCCTATCACCAACGAACTCCACCCTCTTAACTGCTGATACGATTCTCTTATGTATGAAAAAACCTGTACCTAATTCATGATTTTCATTCCCCTTTCCATAGAAGAAAGTATAGTCTCCTGCTGGTGCGATGCCACCTCCATCCCATCTGACCTCCTGTACTCCCGCTAAATCTAACTTATATTTGAAGATTTCTTCTGCCACTGCCCTGAGCGAACCTGCCATATACAAACTTTGTACATTCCAAGTGCCAAATCTCATATACATTTTCATTAGCTTAGGTCGTTTATCCAGGGAATCAGTCCAGGTATGAGGCTTTGTGTTCATTTTCGTAACATGGTGATTTTTTATGGTGAGGAGTTGTTAGCCCCATGCCCAACCCCCAAGCTGGAGGGCCACCCCTTCTCAGCTGTCCGTGACTGCTTATTCAATATATACGCAGCTTCCCTCCAAAACTGGAGGGCGTCTCCTCCATTCGCAACCTGAGGACGCGCCATGACGTGGTGACAAGGACCCACCTAACATGGCCAAGCTTGTGTTTTGGCTTTCATAATCCACCTGTGGAGTTTACATGGTTCTTCATATTGTAACACTTTACATTATTATGTGGGAGAGGGATGAATTCAAGGAGAGAGATATGGGTATGTATGTATGTATGTATGTATGTAAGGGGTGGGACATAAAAAGCGGACTGCGATCTTCAATGATATATTGTGCTTCCCCTTTGGATTAGCCCTTTATTAATCCTACACTTTTAATAAAGTGTAGGAGCATCATAAAAGTCACTTGGTTCCATAAAAGCTGACCCAAGTGACAAAATCTGAAATAAGCTATAACCTCACAATCACACAGGATGTGTGTGGATGATTTGTTTTCTTTGTAGGCACCTGTCACAAGTTGGGTTATCTGTCAGTCCCAAATTGAAAATGTATGCTTTCAGGTAGCAGTGTCCGTAAGTAATCCTACCACCCATCCTAGTTGATCTCTGTTTAATCTCAACAGATCGTTCTTTCTTCTGGCAGAGGGTCCTGCTATAGAACCCATTGCCTGTCTGAGTCCAATAATGGATTTCCAGTATTTTTTATGGTTTCTATCAGTGCAGTCCCTGATGATCACTATTTTCGCAACTCCACTTGAGATGCTGCAAGCTTGTTCAGGTCCTATGAATTGCTGTTCATATCGTGATATGGGTAGGAATGAAAAATCCATACAAAAATTTTGGCAGAAAACCTGAAAGAATGAGACCACTTGGGAGACAATTGTGAAGATGGATTTTGTTAAACATACAATTAGGGCGGTTTTGGACTGTGTTTGTTTGTATCTGGATGCGAAGTTATGATGGGCATGTGTGAACACAGTAATGAGTGCTTAGGTTCCATGAAGAGCAGATATGTATTGTCTCTACTTCCACAGGGACCACAGGTTTCTGAGGAAGGTCGCTGCATTATGAACTTAACACTTGCTAAGATTATGAAGTCTGTAGAGAACAAATCTTACAAAGCAGCTGTTATGGGTTGAATGTAATGGGAAACAGTTACAGCAAGGAGAGCATATATTGTTTCATGTGTGGTGTTGTACAGCCATGACTGATAGAAGATGTGATGCCTTTACAGAACTGTACAAATTCAGAGAAGGTTTTAGTGGGTCCATATGGTGAGACATACCCAGCAAGTCATGATGTGAACGAGGCCATGAATATAAAAGCTGAGGCAGTCTCAGATGCAGAAGAGGAAGGGGATCCTCTGCAAATAACAGTTCAGGAAGTAAAGGCTGAACCTGAGGTGAGCTGTATGTTTCTATATGTCCACTGTTAGGCAGATATTACAAGCAGGCAGGAATTCCAGTTGTCTTTCTCATCTTTGTCTGTCTGTGCACTTCAAACAACTCCACTGTGCTGCTTACTCGCCTTTGAAGGCCTATTTCTGAAGTGTCTCTAGACAGTTATAATTTGTTGAATGTTGCTGCTTGTGATGTACCACTTCAGTTTCCTTTTAAGCAATTCTGAAGTAGATGAAATTAAATTTTGTGTAAACTGAACTGTATTTGAGAGAAATTCTATAGCATCAAAAATCCATAGGGAGTCATGGACCTGTTCGCAGTTAGTTGCTGGTACACTTATTAGAACCAAGAATTTAAATTACTAGGACTCTTGTGAGGTAATTCCTATGAACCCCACAAGATATTTATCATGTGATGAACAGGTTTCAAGGTTATGGAGATTCTGCAGTCTCTTGCAACAAGAGTGGCAAGAATTGTACTGCAGAGAGCTGAAGAAAAGTTTCCTGCTGTAAGCGAAAGAATTGTGTTTCATGCTTGTGTGCACGGACAAGAATTTTATTTTATTTCAGTTCTCTTGGCCAAAGAACTAAATATTTTGTGAGACGCTTCTGTTTGTTTGCATAATCCATGTGGGGAGTTCCTTACACTTGGGTGATAACAGTTTGGGATATTATGTAGGAGAGCAATGAGTTCAAGGAGAGTGATGTGGGTAAGTCATGTATTGCAAATGCAACAGTGAGAAATGCATACTAAGTTTTGGAAGGAAAACCTGAGAGAAGAAGACTACTTGGGAGACCTAAGTGTGGATGGAGAGATGCTGTTAAGATAGATTTTTAAAGAAATAATTCGGGAGGGTTTGTACTGGGTCTGTTCGCCTTAGGATACAGAGCCATGATGAGCATGTGTGATCACAGTAATGAGCTCTTGGGTACCATGACTAACGCCATGGAGCTGAGTGAGTCTTTGAGAAGCCACCAGTTGCTTGTCCACTGAAGAATTTCCAATCATTATATAGAACCTGGAAGTTTATTGACATGTTCGCAAGAATCTGTAACAAGTCCCTATCCTGAGCCATATGAATCCAGTCCACACCACCCCATCCTGTGTCTCTTAAAGATCCATTTAAATATTATCTTCCCACATATTCCTAGGTCTTCCTATTGGTCTCTTTGATTCTGGCTTTCTTGTCATATCCTATATGCATTCCTCTTCTCCCCCTTGCCTGCTATATGAGCTGCCCATCTCATCCTGCTTGCCTTGATCATATAATTATGCTTGGTAAACGAAGGTTACAAGTTGTGGAGCTCTTCATTATGATGTTTTTAGGTACCAAAAAAGCAGATATTTTCTTTACGGCTGCCGTGACTGGTAGTTCCTCGGGAAGGTCACTGAGCTATGAACCGAGTACTTTGTAGTGATCATGATAGCTGTAGAGAAGAACATCCTGTACAAAACTGCTCTTATGTGTTAAATGTGATGAGAAACAGCCATAGCAAGGAGAGCATACGCTGTTTAATGTGTGGTATTGTGTATCAATTTCTGAGAAGGATGTGATGGTTTTTACAGAACTGTACAAATTTGGAGAACGCTTTAGTGGGTCCGTATGGTGAGACATACCCAACACCCTATGATGCAAATCAGGCCATGAAAGTAAAAGCTGAGGCAGTCTCAGATGCAGAAGAGGAAGAGGATCCTGTCCCAATAACATTTCCAAAAATAAAGGCTGAACATGAGGTGAGCTGTATGTGCACTGTTAGGCAGATGACACAAATGTGCAGAAATGGTGCTTGTCTTCTCTGTGAATATGAAACAACTCCACTCTCCTGTTGACTAGATTTTGAGAGTGTTTTCTCCCCCCCCCCCGACTCTAGTACCTTGAATATTGCGTGTGATGTACCACTCCCATTTTCAGTAAACAAATCTAATATAGATGAAAATAGACCTTGTGTAAACTAAATGTTTGCAGTAAATTCCATAGCATGATATATCTATCACATTTTCTTTGTCTGTCCAATCCACTAAGCTTTGGTACTACATCATGGAGTTCCCACGATCTATAAATGCTGAAGTTTATCATTTGTTTTCTGTCTCCCATGTAGTCTGTATCCGTGTAATAACATAGAGGTGTCAACGTGTTGAGGATTTGTTATAAGATGATTAATGGTTCTCTAAGCATTTGTGACAATGTGTGACATATTATAGACACGTTTTGTCTGTTGTCCTTTTGTTTGAAGTAAATTTAATATATCTGACACTGTTCTTTTGTTTGAAGTAAATTTAATATACCTGACACTGTTGTAGGTGCCTGTGTACCTGCTGTCGGGTCATTGGTTGTCATGACAGATTTTTGTTATTTTCTGTTAGACAGAAAGGTAACTAAACATTATTTACAGAGAATGTGTAAGAGGTGTAGATAGCAATAGTGAAGAACTGGCATTGGCAACACATCCTAAAATATAGACGCAATTGTGGTGTAGTGGAATCTGCAATGGATGTAATTAAACATGCAAATGAAGGTATTAATGAACATCAAAGAAAATTTCTACATCTACATATAGATGGAGATTCTTACTTTTCTCAGCCAGTTCACGGTGACTGATGCACCACTGGCTGCAAAGTGCATATTAATTTTGCCAGTGAATCAGTATGCCGGTGGCCAGTAACATTTGGAATGAAGTATACAATTCACAGGACACAGAAGTTGTTGAAAATGCTGTCCTCTTACACGTAGACATTCCTTGCACCAGCAGAAGGGGTTCTGATTAACACTTAAAGCTATTGTGCCGAAATTTTTGCAATTTTCCTATGATTATTTTTTGTTGTTCTTCCTCATGGTTTTTACTATTTTAAACTATGTCCTGCAAAGAACCACAGAAGAAAATATCTAAAAATTAAGGTTGTGTGAATGTGCCTGCCAAATACCAGTGCTGATACCAGACAAAGCCTGCATGGATGTACGTGCAGTGTGGGCAGTAGCTGAGACATGCTGAAACCAGCCATAGAGTCTTTCTGCTTTTTTAACTCGAAAGAATTATCTCAGAATGCACAATTAATTGTTCCATTAAAATATGCTGGTAGAACAATCCTCTTTGCCCTTACAGCTTTGCCAGACTCCAACTTTCACTGGATGGAGCCATACTTCATGGGTTAGATGTGGATTTGGTGAATTCCAGTAGCAACACTTTCTCATATTTATATCACTGCAAGTGAACCCATGCTTCCTCAGAAAAGAATGTCAATTGTGGATCAATCTCCTCTTCAATGATTCACTGTAGAAACCAACTGCAAAAATGAATTTAGAATGTTGTTTATTAGTCCTGATAGCGTTTATATTTATATTCATGCAGCACATTTTGGAAGCTGGATATACATTTGGCACAGTGGACCAGACCATGAAAGTATTATATATAAAGAAGGACCCAAACTCAATGCATTAGAAAGATGTTATATATATATGAGACATAACGAAGAAAGGTCTACAGATGAACGATACATTTACAGAAATACATAATCCAATATTCGACATTCTAGTAAAAGACACACACCAAATAACCCCACCTCTTCCCCATCTCTTCAGCCACTCACAGTAGCCTCCCCGTACCTCATACCACTCAACTCTACACAAACATACCCACATATACTGCTACCCCCCTAGCAAGTAATCTAGACCGACCTGCTACAGCATAGCAACATCATCAACACAAGGAATAGCCCATACACATATACAGATACCCCCCAAGCAAGTAGTCTAGACCGAACCACTACAGCATAGCGACAACATCAACACAGGGAGTATCCTGTACACATATACAGATACAGCCAAACAAGTAGTCTAGACCGAACCACTATAACCAGGGTCCGAATTTTGATGACCTGAAAATATTTAAAAAATGACCTACAAAATATCCAAAAAAAATCTAGAAAAATAACCTAAAGGAGAAAGAGAAAGACACCTCGCTTCCATATTCACATTTCAGAAAACATATGAAGAAAAATTCCCTAAAATGGCCAAAAATTACAAGAAATACCCTTAAAAGTCCAAAGATTTACCAAAAAATTTCCCCCAAATGAAAAAATGACCTTAAAACTACATTTCTGTAATCACCAGCTCATATCCGAGGTTTATATATTTAAACAGTGGCAGTGCTGCTTAATGTATGTTGAATGAGACACCTCCATACATGCTGATGGACTCAGGCACACACCACACGGGGGGGGGGGGGCTCTCTCTGTCCCTGCCTCCACTCTCTGTCACCACTCACGCCTACCGATTTAACATACCACTGAACTGGGGCTTCAAACTTATTTCTCTTCCTATTAGGATTTTTCATGTTATTTACTTTCATTTTCCAGGGTAATTTCAATGTACTTCAACCCGTGCATGGTGAGGAGCAACGATATTCCTGTGATGAGTGTGGAGATTCATTCAGTCAGCAGATAATTCTGAGAGCACATCTGCGCATACATAGTGGGGAGCAGCCATTTTGCTGTGATGTATGTAAAAAGTCATTTAGTCAGCAGAGTCATCTGAAGAAACATCAGCGCATACATAGTGGGGAGCTGCCATTTTGCTGTGATGTATGTAATAAGTCATTTAGTCAGCAGAGTAATCTGAAGAGACATCAGCGCATACATAGTGGGGAGCAGCCATTTTGCTGTGATGTATGTAAAAAGTCATTTAGTCAGCAAAGTAATCTGAAGAGACATCAGCACATACATAGTGGGGAGCAGCCATTTTGCTGTGATGTATGTAAAAAGTCATTTAGTCAGCAGAGTAGTCTGAAGAAACATCAGCACATACATAGTGGGGAGCTGCCATTTTGCTGTGATGTATGTAATAAGTCATTTAGTCAGCAGAATAATCTGAAGAGACATCAGCGCATACATAGTGGTGAGCAACCATTTTGCTGTGATGTATGTAAAAAGTCATTCAGTCTGCAGAGTCATCTGGAGAAACATCAGCGCATACATAGTGGGGAGCAGCCATTTTGCTGTGATATGTGTAATAAGTCATTTAGTCAGCAGAGTAATCTGAACAGACATCAGCGCATACATAGTGGGGAGCAGCCATTTTGCTGTGATGTATGTAAAAAGTCATTTAGTCAGCACAGTAATCTGAAGACACATAAGCACATACATAGTGGGGAGAAGCCATTTTGTTGTAACATATGTAAAAAGTCATTCAGTGATCAGAGTAGTCTGAAGAGACACCAACGATTACATAGTGGGGAGAAGCCATTTTGCTGTGATGTATGTAAAAAGTCATTCATTTCAAAGAGTGAGCTGAAGAAACATATGCACATGCACATGCATAGTAGGGAGAAGCTATTTTGCTGTGATATATGTGAAAAGTCATTCAGTCAGCAGAGCCATCTGAAGACACATCAGCACATACATAGTGGGGAGAAGCCATTTATATGTGACGTATGTAATAAGTCATTCAGTAATCTGAAGAGACATCAGCACTTACATGTTGATGCGTGCAGTAAATCATAGAGCAGTAGAGATGGGTGTAGACTAAAGGAACAGTATGTGACTTGTAGCATGCCACAGTTTTTCATGTTGTAAGTAAGACAGTTTTGCTGTATGTGACATGCTTGAATTTTGTAGAATGCTACAATATATTGGAGTTGATTGCTGTTACTAGCCATAATAACTGATGGGAAATTAACTGAGTCCCATGGTACAAAACATCTGTGCAAATGAGTTCCATTTTAGTCTGATTGCTAAATGTGCACAAGACCCTGTCTTGTTTCATGGAAGCAGACGTGACATGACATGACATTCTTCTGCAGTTATGATGTTAATTCAGCACTGGAAGTAGTCACTGAAATGGATCAACAGCTTATACACATAATCCAGCAGCATCATATGCTTTTCGCTGTGTTATCTTTGCTCTTCTGCCATTACATGTGAGTAAATTCATTGATCAGTTAGTTTCATATTGATATATCGCCTGGATTGAGTATATTGAGGTAGAATGGTCAGATGAATACACTCTACGCTCTATTGCACATTGCAGACAAGATATATTTCTGCGGTATACTTCATATATTATAAAAGATTAAACAATTCCTTCCAGTGTGACTGTTGAAGTTTTTACTACTTCAATTCTTAACACTCTTACACGTTTCGGTGCCTATAGACCATCATCAGAGGGACATGCTCCTTGGAAACCACTATTACAATTGGTGTTCTGAATGTTAAAATATATACACATACAATGTTTGTAATGCACAATATATACAAATCCAAAGTTTTCTCAACTGCAGCGGTTGTCTTGGTGTATTAAAGTTTCTTAAAACTTTTCTTATTTAAGTTAAAATTTATAAAGTGAATGGTTCGTGCCTCTTCTCTTATAGCCTTTCTTGACGGGAGCCAAACTTGTGCCGCCTGTCTTTCTTGAGGAGGAGGTTTTTGATATCATCCTTTGTTTGTTTGTGGTGTGCTGTGTTGTTTTTACAGTATCGATGTCCATCTGGTGATGGTCTGTAGGGACCGGACCATGTAAGGGTGTTAAGAATTGAAGTAGTAAAACTTCAGCAGTCACTGGACAGAATTGTTTTATCTTTTATAATATTTTTAGTGTGACAGACCAGAATGAAACAAATCAAACTTCATATATTGGTTATAAAAAGAAAATTTAATAAAGGTGGGTTTATTCTGCTTGTGGAGAAATGAAGTAGTACAGAGAATTTAATTGAAAGGATCAAGGAAGACTTTTTTACATCTTTTCATTGTGAATACCCGCAGAGAAACTGAGCGGTCTGTCATGAGATCAAAAAAGAAAGTGGTTTGGAACTGAGGCACTCCTTTTTGCTTTATGTCTCCTTTGCCTTAGAGGGAAAGAGTCTGTGGGATGTCATATGAAGAGACAACCACTAGTTGAACTTTCCTATAAGATTTATTGCAGCTGCACAGTATACACAGACGGATAATAACAATAGTGAACTGTAAGAGTAACTCAGTGTATCTTCTTATGTAGCCTAGAGTTGGATATATAGAAAACATGTCACTGTCAGTATTGTTGTAGGCTTTGCCTAGCAACCACTGTTTACTCGTCGTTGCTAAGCAATGAAGCTTGCGTTGTCACGCTTGTTTGAATGTGGGCAGCTCCCACATCACCCCCCCACAGAGATGGTTGCTCAGCTGTTGAAGCGATCAGGAAAAGGTTTGCTTGCGCAGAGCGGTTGCTGGAGGAGTGAGGCGGTAGCAATGCCAGTTGCCCAGTGTGTCGGGCATGGCTGCCGGTGAGTCCGAGGCAGCCGAGTTGCCCAGTGAGTCGGGTGTGAGACCGCTGGACAGCCGAGGCAGCCATTCTTGGTGCAGCGCAGAGCCGAAGATTCCGAAGACCGAGCGCTGGAGTGGAGAGGCGGAAGCTGCAGTGTGTTGACTTAATGTTGCTGAGCGCGAGCGCGGTCGTAGGAGTGATGAGGCGGTAGCTACGCCAGACGCCCAGTGAGTTGGACATGACAGCCGGCTAGCTGAGGCAGCCCAGTGAGTCGGGCATGCCAGCGGAGTGGCAAGGCAGCCATTCCTGGCACAGCGCAGAGCCGAAGACTCCCAAAGACCGAGCACTGGCTTGGAATTCGACCTCAGATATGCGGTCTGCACAGAGGGCTGCGGCCTCCAAGTTGCTCTTGTTCCGGCCGGCGAGGATGCTCTGCAAGTTGCGGGGTAGCCGGCTGGTCCAAACACTTCGGATGATGTTATCAGACACGTTTGATGCAAGACTTTTGAGGTACCTCAGGAACTGGGACGCCTTACGGTCGCCAGTTTCCTCGACCGTGAGGAGTTGCCGGATGCACTGCTCTGGCGATGAGGATAGCTGCCTCACAAGCTCGGTCCTCAGTAGGGTGTAGGAGCCTTGTTCGGGTGGAGAGAGGATGATATCCTCCACCTCTGTGGTGTATTGGTGGTCCAGCTGTGAGATGACATGGCAGAACTGGATCCGCTCACTGTTAGTGCCGGCCAAGGTGAATTGCGCCTCGGCCTGGGTGAACCACATGGCTGGTCTCTTGGGCCAGAACGGCGGGAGCCGCACGGCCCTTCTGGGCACTTCTGCTGATGAACTGTCTGCCTCGTCCATGCTTAGTCAGGGTCACCAATGTGGGATGTCAACCACTAGTTGAACTGTCCTATAGGATTTATTGCAGCTGCATAGTATACACAGATGGATAATAACAATAGTGAACTGTAACTATCCCAAGTCCAAGTCACATTGCGACTGACGGTCAGTCAGCCAGTAAGTCTTGGTATCGAGCACCCTCCTGGGGCTCATGACCAGATATTTATTGCTCCTCGACTGTTACCGTCTTGTTTCTGTGGGGCGCCCTCTCTGACGAGAGGACGGGTCTGTCTTTTGCATATGCTGCTGGTCCTTGCCAGCGCAGTGTTTCTCGGGTCCTAGTCCCTTGAGACTTGCGACCATATTTTACTGTCTCACATTTAGAAAACATGTCACTGTCAGTGTTGTAGGCTTTGCCTAGCAACCGCTGTTTACTCGTCGTTGCTAAGCAATGAAGCTTGCGTTGTCACGCTTGTTTGAATGTCGGCAGCTGCCACAAGTCAGCTGAAAATTGTGAAATATTCTTTAATAAAATTAGGCAATGTCATTAATATTATTAATTGGAATTCAGAGGTTTCATGTAGTGGAATGACACAAGAGGAATAGCTTTTAATTGTACTTAAATTCAGTGCAGTTATGCCCCTCCCTCAATGCCCATTTTCTTCACTGCCTGAATGAACTGCATCATAACTGAAGCTAATTCTTGGTCACCCTGAGCAAGTGATCTCTGATTACTGACACTTTTCTTGCCAAGGAACGCTTGCTTCATTTTGCATAAGATGTACCATGCATTCGTCCCTCAATAACTTTGCATCAGCAGAGCTCTTCCTCGTGTGTCACCACAAGTAGACTGTCGCTGCATCACCAGAACTGATCCTGCTCCATGGTCCTGGAATATGTGTTCCATTTTGTGTCTCTTCACCATATAAAGTAGTGGGGAGCGCACGAATGGATTTGCAAATTGCAGTTGTCCTCAGAAAAGTGTGAAGGTAGGCTGATGCTGTGCATTCTGTATGCTTAAAAGGAGGGAATATGGAGTGAAATCATCTGGCTCAGGATAGGAGCCAGTGTCTGGCTGTGAATGGTAATGAACCCTAGCATTCCATAACATGTTGGTAATTCATTGAGTAGCTGAGCAACTAGTAGCTTCTCTGAAAAGGTGCAGCTGTGTGAAGTTGGTTAATACTTAGCATTTGAACTTCTAGATTGATTGTCTGGAACTGGAATTTGTTGTTGACCCTGTCCCACTGAAGCAATCCAAATGTGTCTCCGATGGTCAGTAAGTCTGGGTCTCCTGTTATTCCTGTTATATACATTGGGGTAGTACAATATGCTATGCATAGATGTACCTGATTTAGTGACTCACATCCAGCCAGTCAGTTTATCAAACCCTGTATTCCCACCAGACTAATGCAATGCTTCCAAGAAACGTATTTTTGCAGTATGTGTTTTTCAGTTTAGTAATATGTAAGTAACTCCAGAGAGCTGAGTTAGTTATCAATAATGGAAGTTGTTATTTTTGAGACCTCTCATCCCACTAGCTAAGAAACTGTTTTAATGTATATAAATTTTACGTCACATGAGCACATGCTGTGCGCAGCAAAACAGCCGCTTGGTGTAGCTGATGCAGCAGAGTGGCTGACATGCAGAGCCACGTGGAAAGAATGGATGAAGAGACAAATAACAGTACAGATCTCGGAGAATAAGAAATGTGAATGAGGAAAATGGGCAGAATAACAGTGAGACTCTGAATGTGACATAGAAGCCTATACCTTAACTGGAGAAGAAGAAAAAAGTATTTCTGACTTAAGCTTCATTCACCAAAATTCAGAATTTAAAATTGGTATTGTATATTACTCAGAATCCCTTGCTGGGTTTTTGGATTGTGTTCATTGTCTGGTGTTCAAGAAACGGGATGTACAATTTAAGGAACTGGGTCTGATTTGGTCCTCACTTGAGGGACGGGGGCACAACTACTCTGCTGGGTCCATTAGAAAGAGCTCATTCTAGCAGGACAATGGACAAAGTCCAAAAATCTAGCGATTCCAGAAACCTTAAGAATCTACGGGTATCCCACAAGTGTATGAGTGTTCTGGCTAGTGTGTGTATTTAGGGTTTATTTTATGATGCTCTTAGTATTTTAGGCTACATAGCATCATATTAGGCCTTGACTTCTTTTCCCACTCCAAGGCAGCTGTTAACACTTCGCGGACTGGATGCCTAGGCCTAGGCGTTTGGGTTTTAAACGTGGCAGACCGGTCGCCTAGATTTAGGCTTTTAGGACACGTTGTATTGTAACACACTATTCCTCGCTTTGGTGGCCACGTGTCTGTAAAAGTACTCTGTAAAATTACTGCGTAGCTGACCTTCGGAATGTTTGTTTTCGTAGTCAGCAAGGTGACCACTCTCTATTCCCCTCTCACTCTAAAGAAAAGTCCCTTTGTTCAAGTCAAAGCTTCTATGTGTGAGGCAAGATATTCTAAGTGTCAACATGGCTCATAGACAAAAGCAGTTGAAGGCCGAGCGAGCTCTTGGAGAAGAAATCTGTGATTTGATCTCCGATGAGTTATCTGACTTGCCAACTGCTTTGTCTTCTGATAGCGAGGGCAGTGTCAGTGGCAGTGACAGGGGCCCCCAAAATATTGTGACCAGAAGAGGAAGTGAAAGTGACAGTGAGAGCTCCAATGAAAGTGCGAGTGCTAGCATTGCGGGGACAGCCACATGGGGTAAAGTGGACAAAACACCCACTTTGGGAAAGTTTACTGGTGATCCAGGGCTGAGACAAATGCCATTGGACCCTACACAAGTGTCTGAAGTAGCTGAACTGTTTTTTGGAGATAGTTTCTTTGACATGTTGTGTCAGGAGACCAACAGATACTATCTCCAACACCGTGAGGCATATGACAATACCTATAAGGTGTTGAAGTGGGTGGATGTCAATTCAGCAGAAATGAAAACATTTTTGGCAATAATCATTCTAATGGGGTTTACAAAGAGGGATAATTTGAAAGACTATTGGTCCACTGATCCGTTTTTGAGAAATTCCCATTTTCGGCAAACTCATGAGTCGTAGGAGATTTGAACAGATATGGCGGTGTTTGCATTTCAATAATAATGAACTGTAACCACAATCAACGGGCAGGCTTTTCAAGAGTCGGCCCTTATTAGACTTTTTCGTTGAGAAATTTCAGACAGTTTATAAGCCAGAGCAGCAACTGTCTTCGGACGAATCTGTGATTCCTTGGAGGCGAAGGCTTCGTTTTTGAATGTATAATCCTGGGAAACTCACAAAGTATGGCCTACTTGTTCGTGTAGTCACGGAAAGCACTTCAGACTATAATATTATATTTCAGCATCCTGTTACACTCACACAATATATATGGACAAATACCGTCTTAAGTGCAACAATTTTATTGTAGTTTTTGCTTCTTTTTTCTCCTCCACACTACATGTTTCGGCCCTAAATGGCCATCATCAGGTGTGTATCACTCACGTAGCTGTTACACTGCTTGTTAAAATTTAAAATCACCAGTCTTTCTAATTGTATAAAATCTTTGTTAATCTACAGGCATCGATTTTATTTTTAAATTAACTCTTTTTAAAACTTTAATTCAAGTTAAAATGTCTATAAGATCTCTGTTCTTTCTTTTTCAAAATTTTTAATTAAAATGTATTCAGGGTACATGCCCTATATCTATGTAGTGTGGAGGAGAAAAAAGAAGCAAAAACTACAATAAAATTGTTGCACTTAAGACGGTATTTGTCCATATATACTTCAGACTATATTGGAAATTTAGAAATTTATTCCGGTGAAGGCAAGAAATTGCAAGAAACTATTGTTTCCATTTTGGATCCCTATCTGGATCAAAATTATCACATTTATCAAGATAATTTTTTTAACAGTGTGGCAACTGCAGAATACCTACTTTCAAGGAAAGTACATATTTGTGGTACAATTAGGGTGAACAGGCGCCTTCCTCCAGATCTGAAAGAGGAATGTAAATCCCTGAAACGTGGTGACACCACATTCAGGAGGAAGGGGGACATTCTTATACAGTCCTGGAGGGATACTCGCGTTGTGAATATGATTTCCACTATTCGCAATTCAAGCATGGTCGATGTTCAGAGACGACATGGGCAAGTGAAGAAGAAACCTCTTTTTATTTCTCAGTACAATATGTTCATGAAGGGAGTTGATAGAGCCGACCAATACTTGGCCTATTATTCCCTTCCTAGGAAAACAGTAAAATTGACGAAGAAAGTTGCCTTGTGGCTTATAAATTGTGCCCTTTTCAATTCATTTTTGGTTTTCAAAGAGCTAAATGAAAACTCAACTTTGAAATACAAGATTTTTCTCATGAATGTGGAAAAAGCCTGGGCTACAAACCTCACGGTGGCGACAGAACCTGCGTCAGACACAGACGTTGTACAACCGGGACCATCTACTCCCACCCCACGGGCCTCATATGGACCCCCCTGGGCGACTCTCGGGTGATATGCAGAAACATACCCTCATGAAAATTGTGATGAGTGAACAATCGACGGGGAAGTATCCTAAGCAGTGCCTGTGTGCGCTGTGCACAAGAAGCGAAGCAAAACTTCCTATGTCTGCAAGTTCTGCGTCGTGCCTCTTCACAGAGGGGAATGTTTCTAGAAATATCACACTCTGAAGCACTTCTAGGAGCTCTGGTAAATGTTCTGCAAAAATTTTAGTTCATAAAATTAATTAGGAGATTTTATATTAATTTTTAAAGTGAACAGTGCACAAGTTAGGGTAGTAGGTTTAAAAACGCCGGTCCCCAGGGTGATTTAAATATTTAAATCACCGGTCTGCGAAATGTTAAGTCACTTGAAAAAATTAAATTCGCTTAGTGGGTGGCGGAGTCCAACTGGGTTGACTTTTGCATGGCAGCCACTGATTGGCCTATCGTATCCTGCCCCGGGTGATTATGATGATGGAGAATTTGGTGGAATGAATATTAGCAGGGGAAACCGAAGTACTTGGAGAAAACCCTCCCAAGTGCCACTTTCTCCACCACAAATCCCACTTGATCGAACCCGGTCCGCTGCAGTGGGAAGCCATCGACTAAGCCCTTCAGCTGTGGCGTGGCCACATAAGTCACTTGAATGTGCCTACATAAATTTTAGATATGGATTTTATTACTAGTTCACCGCATAACAGAGAATGTAGTGAAACTGTTGTTTTAGAACTTTTCAAGTTAATAATCTGCATATTCAGTTAAAGTGTAATTTCAGAGTATCCATACTAAAATGTAGATTGGAAATTAGATTTGCTTTTGCTGTGGTGGGACTTTTTTTTTTTACGAAATGGATGTTGGAACACACACCAAAAAGACTGAGAATAGCTGTTCTAATATGTGGCATAATGAGCCAATATAAATTAGTCTGAAATACAAAGTAACCTAAGTTGCCCTAAGATGTGAACTTAAGTGCTTATAGGCAAATTCAGTGGGACAGCCATCGCACTGAAGGCACACTTCAACTTGTTGAGCCAGTTTCTGAACATCCACTGAATATGTAGATTACTGTCTTCTGGGTGTGATATTCTGGAGAGTCTGCCTGAAATAGAGGCAGCAGGTTCCCCAGAATATACATACCTGTCCACCAGAGTATGGCAACATCCCAGAGGATCGTGATCTTGATATGCACTGCCGTAAGAGCTTCAAGTCTCACTTCATGCTGTTATCTTCTGGGCTACTTTATACTGGGAGATAATGCACATAAGATAACCTACATTTCATTGTATTGCATTTTCTTTTTCATGCAGCCCCAACACCCACCGCACATCATCACCTAATGCTGGTCCAGACGTCCTCAAGTCTCTAGAAGAAACTGGGAGTGGGGAAGGCGGTTATGAATGTGAGCAGTTTCTGTTTCATGTAGCCCCAACACCCACTGCACTGCACCACTCGATGCTGGTCCAGAAGTCATCAAGACTCTAGAAGTAACTGGGAGTGGGAAAGGTGGTTATGAATGTGAGCAGTTTCTGTTTCATGAAGCCCCAACATCCACTGCACTGCACCACTCGATGCTGGTCCAGAAGTCATCAAGACTCTAGAAGTAACTGGGAGTGGGAAAGGTGGTTATGAATGTGAGCAGTTTCTGTTTCATGAAGCCCCAACATCCACTGCACTGCACCACTCGATGCTGGTCCAGAAGTCATCAAGACTCTAGAAGAAACTGGGAGTGGAGAAGGTGGTTATGAATGTGAGCAGTTTCTGTTTCATGAAGCCCCGACACACACTGTCCTGCATCACTTGATGCTGGTCCAGAAATTATCAAGACTCTAGAAGAAATTGGGAGCGGGGAAGGCGGTTATGGCTGTGAGCAGTTTCTGTTTCATGAAGCCCCGACACCCACTGCACAGCATCACTCGATGCTGGTCCAGAAGTCATCAAGTCTCTAGAAGAAAATGGGAGTGAGAAAGGTGTTTATGGCTGTGAGCATTTTGTTTGTTTATTTTTATTTTTCTCAACAGTGGTGTGCAGGGTATAAACCTACCTAACAGAAAGGTTTTAAAACAGCTTCTTGAATGTATTTATTTTGAAAAGGGAAACCAAAGATAACCGCAAGTAACATGTACAGGGCGTTCCGCAGTGGAACTGACCAACTTTGCCAGCAGGTTTGGGTGGTTAGTGTAAGCAATAAATCTCATGTAAACCATGGATTGATTTGGCTTCATTATAGCAATATGAATGGGAACGATTATTCTCCCTAGTTATTGTGTGAACCATGTTTCACAGTTCTGTTGTTTGCTGATGTATGTGTTTCATGCTCCCCCCCATCTTGTTTCCCTTCACTACCTTTTTTGTTATTCCTAGTGGGGTGGAACTAAGTCTGTTGTACTGCGGCCACTTCTGGCCTATTGTACCAGCCCCAGATGAGGTGAGGGTGATTGTGGAGCAATTGGTGGAATGAAGATTGGCAGGGGAAACCGAAGTACTTGGAGAAAACCTGCCCCAGCGCCACTTTGTCCTCCACAAATTCCACTTGACCAGACCCGCGATCGAACACGGGCCGCCGCTGTGGAAAGCCAGTGACTAACCGCTTGAGCTATGGCGCGGCCTTTCCCTACCTTAGTTAGTGAATGTTCGTGATTGTTCGCTTGGCTCGTGCAAGGTAATATGATTTGGTTTACGTACTTGCTATTACCTATAGGTAAATGACTGATTTCTTGCGTCGCGTGTGCGACCTGTAATTCTGTTTAACCAGTGTAGCTTTTCTTTTGGCGCGGGCTGTGATGACCATTTGTTTGTATTATATTATTTTTTGCCTAAATGGCATATTTTTTATCGTGTTACAATATATTGTGACGTGGATGGCCCAACGGTAAGTAGGGGTCACGTGAACTCTGCGATCTCGCGAGTGACGTCACATACCTGCACCATCTCCATTATCACGCAACGCTCGGTAAACACCCCCTCCCCGCGGTTTCGTAACAGAGGAGCAACTGTATTAGGTAACCATTGTCACGATGTTACCAAGGGATACCGCGGTTGCTACGCAGCAATAAACAGCTCTCGACAGCGTTGCTAGCATCACCCGTAAACACGGCGTCAGGTATCAGCGGTACCTGTCACGTAACTGTTTTCTGTGTTGTCCGTGCCGAGGCTAAATAAGGAGCAGCGAACACTTCAGTAATGAGTGATTAGTTAGTAGTTAGGAGTGAGTGATCAGTTTGTTAGTAGTGTGTGATCAGGAGTGAGACAGTTGAATTGCAACAGTCGCCGAGTTCAGTTGTAGCGGAAAGAAGAATACCGGAATGTGTGATTAGAAGTGATAGTGTGAGAAGCGGATGCTTGGCTCATAATTGGGAGTGTGTAATACAGTGACACTGGTACAGCTCCCGTATCGTACTGTGAATACGTGTAGACTACTGAGGACAGAGTGGACAGATTATTGTGTAGGGTTGTAAATTGTGTAAACCCGTTACAGTGTTATAATTAATTATAGCCTAGACTTGTAGATTGTTAAATATACCAAGTAACAATCCGAACGGCGTCTTCAGTGGCAAAAGACGTTACACTGGTGTCAAAATTGATTTACGAGCTTAAACACGCCTCGATCTAGGAAGAAGTGTTGAATTTATGAAAAAAGAAAAGAAAATGGAGCAAGACATTCAGCTAATACTTGAAATGATGAAAGAAATGAGGGCCGACTCTAAAGCCTGGCGAGAAGAAATGGTTGCAGAAATAGAAGCCATCCGAGCAGAAACGAGAGCCATCAAAGCAAGGACGGCCGCCATGCGAGAAAAAATGGGCGCCAGCCACATGGAGATGGTGTCCACATTTAAACCCGATATAGAGGACAATACTATGGCTTGCCAAGAGATGGAGGCACGTCTACAAGAAGAAAAGACGGCCTCAGTGGACACGAAACCGCAGCGGCACAACAAAAAAGGTCCCAACAGTGGTACCGGTCGGAGAACGTGAAGAAGAAGCAACGAATGCCAGAAAAGAGACGATGGCCTGCCAAGAGAAGGAGGCACGTCTGGAAGAAGAACAGCCGACCTCACTGGAAAGGAAACCTGAGACGGCAGAACAACGAGATGTCCCCATAGAAGACGCCGAAGTAATGCCGGTCGGAGAACCGAAGAAGAAAAGGCGTAGGGACCGAAACCAGCGAAATATGAAGAATTCGACATGGAAAAATTGTGGCCTCCAGAAGAAGTTGGTCGTAGCCAGCAGAGGGACGAGCCGCCGTGTGGAAGTGCACGGCAGAAGAAAACCAGCAGGAAGGTGTCCCGCCATGCAACAGTGGCATGGCTCAAGAATAATATCTTCAGGAAATGTACGACCCAAGGGAAGTGTGGACTGCGGCACGAATTTGCTGCCGACAGAAGTATGACTAGCCGTGCAGGTGTGACACTGCGCAAGGGAGATTTCGTAAAGAAATATTCAATCACGGTTAATGCTGAACAAGAAGCCCCATAAAGGAGAGAGGAGAATAGATGTTGAAAGTACCCTGAATGCAGCACTGGCATAAGGGACAGGTCTGAAACAGCGACTACGAGTAAGCAACCAATTGAAGGACCCAACCAAGAACGCCGTTGGAGGGTGTATATCAGGACAGCGATCGCACCTAGGAGGGAGGAGAACTTGTAAGAAGACCTACTACGAGATTGTCAGAGAGAAGATCGCGAAGCGAATAGTCGGATCTTCTGTCGGCCTACGACAAGGCAAGGATTGGACCTTGTGGAGGGGTCGACCCCCTCCGAAACGAAAACATGGAATAGTACAGAAGAAGAGCCGGTAACGTAGAAGCACCGGTCTTCCCAACGAGAGTGAATGAGCGACGAATGAAAGTGATACAACCGGATTTTCTGGCACGTTACCAGGAAACCACTCGAGACGAGGTGGTCTTAAGAGGGGAAGAGATGTAACGGACGGAGAATAGTCGCTGCATGAGGAGTAGCCGAAACAACAGGAGAGACAGCAACGGTAAGAAAAAGGAACGGGGATGTACCGTTAGGCTGTTCGGGACGAACAACCTTTAGAAGGGAGCAGTGTGACGTGGATGGCCCAACGGGAAGTAGGGATCACGTGAACTCTGCGGTCTCGCGAGTGACTTCACATAACCCCACCCCTTCCATTATCACGCAACGCTCGGTAAACACCCCCTCCCCACGGTGATGTAAGGGAGGAGCAACTGTGTTATGCAACCATTGCTGCGGTGTTGTTACCAAGGGATACCGCGGTTGCTACGCAGCAATGAACAGCTCTCGACAGCGTTGCTAGTATCACCTGTAAACACGGCATCGGGCAACAGCGATACCTGTCACGTTTGTTTTCTGTGTTGTCAATGCCGAGGCTAAATAAGGAGCAGCAAACACTATTCAGTAGTGAGTGATTAGTTAGTGAGTAGTGAGGATTGAGCCAGTTACGAGTGAATTACTAGTGAGTAACGATTAACCAGTCAGTTGAATTGTAGCAGTCGCCGAGAGCAGTGGATGTAATTGTGATACTACCGATGGCAGTAATTGTCAGATTGTATATTGTGTGATTGTAAGATCGACTGTTCAATAAATTCGCTATATCAAATACAGCTTGAAGTTACTTGTCGCGTGACATATACCCAACACGTGACTATATATATATATATATATATATATATATATGTTTTGCTACTGGAGACGCCGTTCGGATTTTTAATTGGTTTATTTAACAACCTANCTGATTCCTGTCTGGATTTGCGTTCCCCCATTAACCAGCTGATCCCAAGGCATCTTCTCTTGAAATCTCTGCCCCAACTTAGGGAGGCGTGTAACCCCATGTCCACGAGCAAGCTTTTCCTGTGGCCTCCCCTCCTCTCTCTTCCTTATGTAACCTAGTAGGAGTAGAAGGGCGGCTGAGGTGTTATTATTTATTACACGAATGCTTAATTACTTGCTGAGTAATGTTGCCAAAGAATACAGTACATGTAAACCATGTCAAGGGGTTACATTTGCATGTTGTATTCTGAGCGAATTTTTCAGCTGTAACTGAGAAAGGCATTAAAGCAAATTCAAGGAAACCTAATGAAAGTGATGCTCCCAGTGTACGGTAGATGCTTGACAGGAACTGGATCACAAACTCGGTTGTGCTTCTACCAGATTGCAAAGTCTTTTCTTTCAGATCACTGAACTAGTCATCATACAAGTGTCAGCCTAATAATGTTCTTGTCTTCAAAGAGTAGGCAAAGTTGTCACTGGGCTTAATGGAATGTGATTAGTATCCTTGTTTTGTGTTTAGGAAGTTCTGAGTTCAAATATTAGTTCACAGAACAATTTATCTACGTGAGGTTCTTGTGGTTTCCCTTATGTCCAGCTGTGGTATCTCAAGCTAGGCCAGAACTGCTTCCTGATTCACTATTCACTAATCATGGCATCATCTGACACAATAAAAACTGAATAACTGAAAGCAATTCCCCCGCGTATCCTGATCTTTGAGAGACACCACATTATCCACATCAGAGCTGAACACGATATAATTCATCTGTAGCGGTACCCATTTGCCGAGATCTTCTCCAGTCTCCTTGACTGCATTATCTCTGGTAGCCCCTTCACTTGTGCACAGACACAGTGGCTGCTCACCTTCATACATCTACAGAGTTGCAGTTCCTCCCCAGGACATGAAAGTTATTGAAGAAATTCTGGTCAGGAAAGCCAGAAGGAAGATAGCATTTGAATGACCTGGACTTAAATTGGAGGACAGAATTTCAATGGGTGTCAACGGCAATGTAGGCAGCACTCAGTTGGCTCAGAAGCAAATATCTATGTAGTTATTCACGGGGTTTATTTTCATATATATAAGATTAGAGATTATGAAGTGCTACTTCATTCATTCATCTGTAATCTATCAAGACGATAGGTCCACAGTCTCTCCCAAAACAGTTCCTCCACTTGATGCGATCTAGAGCTTTCTCCTTCAAATGAAAATATCCTCGTCTGCCCCCAAGGTCATCCAGCATCTTCTTACATCTTCCTCGGCTTCTGGTCACTTCTATCTGCCCCTCTATCTTTCCTTCAATAACTTCTTTTAGAAGGGAGTTACTGTGTAAGATATGACCAATCCAATTAGCCTTCTATTTTCTTGATATATTGGGTTTTTGGACTTTATCCATCGTCCTGGTTTTTAAGATAAATAAAAACACGACGTTTCG